AACAGAAATGTAATTACAACAAGACAAGTTAGATGCACAGGGACAGAGGGTGTAATGCAGTGCCGTACACACAGGGACAATCCTGGGCGGGTGCACATGGTGCTCCATGCACAAGCGTCAGGAGGTGTGGGGCGCCGCGGGGAGCAGGCCAATGGTCTGTCACAGGGAGCCCAGAAGGTGGCCAGCCGGTTATCCCAGAAGGCAGGTGCCTACTCTGCAGCTATATACCAAGCCAGAGTGAGGAATGAGGCAGGCAGTGCCAAAGGAGCACTGTCAGAGCTGATTCTCTTCCTGCTCCTCTCTGCTCCCTCGCGCACCCTCTGTGGTGATACCGTGAGCCGGAATATCACATAATTCTGGACCCGCATCACTAAAAAGTGTGAGGGAGGAGAGAGGCGCAAGAAGAGCATTAAAGCCACTGGACCCCGGGGAGAGGACCCAGACACAGTGTGTGTGTCTGTCAGTAAGTGTGTGTGTGTGTGTGTCAGCGAGAGTGTCTGTCAGTAGGTGTGTGTCTGTCAGTGAGTGTGTGTGTGTGTTTGTCAGTATATGTATCTGTCAGTGAGTGTGTGTGTGTTTGTCAGTAAATGTATGTGTCAGTGAATGTGTGTGTGTTTGTCAGTAAGTGTGTCTTTCAGTGCGACTGTCAGTGTGTGTGTCTGTCTGTCAGTAAGTGTGTGTGTGTGTATGTGTCTGTCAGTATTTGTGTGTGTGTGTGTTTGTCAGTAAATGTATCTGTCAGTGAGTGTGTGTGTGTGTGTGTGTGTTTGATAGTAAATGTATCTGCTAGTGAGTGTGTGTGTCTGTCAGTGTGTGTCTGTGTGTGATTGATACAGTGTCCATATGACAGTGTAAATGTCTGTGTATTGTATTGTGTGTGACTGTCTAGGTATGCATGGGGCAGTGTGTGTGTGTGTAATTGTGTGATTATGTATGTAGTGATTTAAAATGCTGAGTGCTGGACTTCCATGTTTTGTGTACCACTGTGTGTCTGTCAGCATTTGTGTCTGTCAGTGAGTGTTTCAAATCAGTGAGAGATTGTATGGGATTAAGAGTGTGCGTCAATGTTTCTGTCAGAGAATGTTTCTGTCAGTGTGTGTCAAATCAGTGAGTGTGTGTGTCTCTCAGTAAGTGTGTGACTGTCAGTGAATTTGTGTCTAGATGTAGAGGTGGAGTGGTTGCAAAGGGTAGGGGTTAGAAAGATGACCACACAAGCATTCACACAATTTACACACATTTATTTCCATTATTGGTGTTTATGAGTGTAGTGGAGTTGATATTCCCTCTTATTGATCCTTTTGATCACAGTGTTTGTATGTAGTCCTGATATGATAGAAACATTTAATTACATAACGAGAATCGACACAGTAAAGGAGAATACTTTATTTAAAAGAAGAAAAACTACCACAACAAGAGGACATAGTCTTAAATTAGAGGGACAAAGGTTTAAAAATAATATCAGGAAGTATTACCTTACTGAGAGGGTAGTGGATGCATGGAATAACCTTCCAGCTGAAGTGGTAGAGGTTAACACAGGAGTTTAAGCATGCGTGGGATAGGCATAAGGCTATCCTAACTATAAGATAAGGCCAGGGACTAATGAAAGTATTTAGAAAATTGGGCAGCCTAGATGGGCCAAATGGTTCTTATCTGCCGTTACATTCTATGTTTCTATGTAATGTTATTCAGAAGCTTCTCTGTGTTCTACTGTAAACCAGATGTGAAGACCCAATAGCTGGTGTTTACGTAATTAAATTTTTCACGTAATTGCCTGGGCCAAAGGAAACAAAAGCAGCAAGTATGCCCCACCCCAATAGTGGTGTAATCCAAATGTCCAGAGACCAGTCATGTTTCTTTAAATTACATAGATAACCAGAGAATCATGGGAGTTGTAGTTCAGCAACATCTGGGGGGCCGGAGTTTGATGACTCCTGCTCTAGGAGATGTTAAGACATTCAGCAGCCATTAACAATTACGTTTTATAGCACGGAGACAGCCAATAATCGCTAATGTCATTGACAGTAGATTGATCAATTACTGAATTGTAGCAACAAACATGGCAACAAGTTTAAAGTTTTTGATTTGTTTTTTTTTATTTGCAATTTTTGCCTTAACATTGAAAATGTGTTCTCGAACTCACACTACACAGTTTAGTAAATAAAATTCCTAGTGTTTACACTGGGTGGGTATATGCTATGCATTGCATTCCATGGTATTGGAAATATAATTACAACATTTATTCAAATATCCAGGCTAGAACTATAGCTGCCTTGGATTTTTTTTTCTAAATGACCTATTTTCCCCAAATTATTCACTAGAATTTTTGTTTTTAGGAAACTATATCCCATCCTCATACACAAATGAATACTTTAGATTTAGATTATTAAGCAATTTTAGCAAAGTTTTTTGTTTGTCGTGAACTTTTTTATGTATCTTTTTTATGGAATATATTTTTCAGTTTTTTTAAATTTTTGTAGGGGGATTGGGATATTTTACATCTCTCTCTTTTTTAATTTCGTTTAAATAAATTAGTTTCTTTTCTTGTAAGTATGCCCGTCCAGCCAGTAATTTGGCAGTGCAACACTATTGGCTGCAATAAACCTGTCTGTCCACTTGCAGACCAATTAACACAAGCAACTAATTAATACACACAAACTCCACACCTCCCGTTTTATTTCTTTACACACACTGTTAAAAGCATTTTGCTATTTCAAGTGGAAAGTGGAAAATACAATCTTTTGGGCATATGGAGCAATTAGTGGCAGAGTATCAAAGCAAGCAGATAGGGGATATGCAAATCAGCCCAGTGTCAACTTGTATAGTCTTCGTTAGGGATCTAACTAGAATATGGAAATGAGTTGCATGATAGAATCCAGAAAAATAATTGAGCTGCTTATTTTTAACACATTCTAACCCAGGGCTAGCACACACACAACGCAGAAAACAGGCCATCGATATATAAAGGAACTCGGCCCTTAAGGGTTAAGATGTCACTTTTCTCAGTCACTGCATTTTAAATCAGAAAAAGAAATGTCTGAAATTGCAATGTAGTACATTTTTCCTGGAAAAAAATCTATTTGAAATCTATTTTATAAATATACCGTTTTCTGTTGTTATTTTGTCTCAAAAGGCTTCTTCGGATCATCTACCACCACCCCAAAAATTCTCAAAAGGAGAACAGTGCAGAAAAAAAACTGTCCTGCTTAAATTCTTTCACAGATATGTAAAATACCTATCTCAAGGCAAAACGTTTTAATTTAGGTAGGTGGTTTTAAGCTGTGTTGGAAGACTAATACTGCATATTTTGTTTGTTCACTTTTTGCTTTTTGTATGTTTTTACAGCAGAACCACTATAAAAATGCAAATTTTGTGTATACTCCCCTAATCTCATACAGCCAAGAATAGGAGTGGATTGAAGCATTTAAGAGCAAAATAATAGGGGGAAAAAATAATGGAGAAAAAAAATGATTATATTGTACTGTAAATTTCACAACCTTATCCAAAAAACTAGAGGGAATTCTCCCCCCAACAAACATGATGTCACACACCTCCAAAGATTTAAAGGCACCTCATAGTACACATTGTTTTATTTTTAATGAGAATTTGTTTTCAGAGAATTTCCGTAAAGAACTGTAGATGATCTCTTTTGGACACATGCATTTTAAACATATCACTAAATATTTTAACAACAATTAGAAATGTTAATACTTTAGTTTAACTCCGAGGCATTAAAATATATATGAAATATGTGTGCTGTAAACTGAAACAAAACAACAGTCGCATGAATTCTTGGTTAATAGGATACCATACAATGCTTAGAAGGTCACTTATAACACAAAATTAAAAATAACATGGTGATTGTTATCCTATTGGATGTGATTGTTAGAGGTGTTTTTGTATTTACTTTTTAAGGTAGAATAACAGACATTGGGCTATTATGAATGCAATCTATCTTTTATTTTATTACGGTAATACAAATATTTGGAAATGTCCATACATTTTGACAAATTGTCTGATATTGGCATTGTGGAGACCGCAAATATTTAACATGTAGCATACCCTTAACATTGGGAAATAGGACCCTGGAATGGTGAGTTAGAGCCATCATCCCACTTTGTTTGCTGAGGACAATTCAGTAATGTCCCAGGGCTACAAGCTAAATAGGGACCCCATTTTGAGACTGGGCCACTGAATACAGGACAATTAGGGGGTATAATGGAGGTGTCAATGGACACCATGGGAAAATTCATTATAGTTTTGCAACATAATAACAAGTTATTTAGTAATCACATTTTATAAATAGTCAGGAATGCAAAATTAATCTAAATTAATTTCAACCATGTTTTCAAGTTGTCTATTTAGGCCTTAAATTTGAAATTCACTTCTAATTTGCTTTGATTTTTTTTTTTTACAGCACAGTTTAGCAACCCCGCTGCTATTTATTTCGAAGTACCTATGCTAGTTCTGAACTCATAACATTTTGGGATGGTGTACAAGTTTTAAGTGGTCTCTTCTCCATTTCTTCTGCCAGTTTTTCCTTTCCCTCATTAAATGGCCAAGTCTCACACCTACCCAACCAAAAGAAGGATAACATGTCCAGTGGTATGGTGACATATATTACACAACTCAATAATACTCATTTTATGGACCTCAGTGTAATGAAATGTTAACAGTGTCGACGTGCAACACTCATGTTTTAACAGCAACTATATTGAGCCGATGAGATATTTTAAAAGAAATGTCAACAACATAAAATCTACCTAATATGAAAAAAATGTATATAATAACTTTTTTAGATATATAACATTCTGTGTACTACTAAGTTTTGCCCTTGTAATAATTTTCATCCAATTTGTCCAACATTTTAAATTGTTGTAAAACAACATTTATACCGGATCCGTGATAAGGAAAAAAAGATGTCTTCTTGGTTTTTTTCCATTCTCACTCCAAAGGAGATTAATGAGCACTCTGACAGAGCTGGAGCTGATGAAGCTAAAACATTACCCCTTTACTTGGTAATTGACATGGATTTCTGGCTTAATGTCACACACCAGGTCCAACATTTCTTTTACCACCCGCTCCCGGTATTTCTGGTAGTTTGCGTTGTAGGCGTGAATCTTTTCTGTGGTCTGTTCCTCTATCTTCACTGCCAAGTTACCCTGAGACCCCATTATCTGTTAAAAGGGAACAGTACATTATATATTATTTATACTGTCAGCAGTCACCCTTATACATAATTACAGGAACACTGAAGGAATAATTCACTAAATACCCAACTTTAGTAAACTGACAATTAAATAACACCACCCCCCAAAAAATGACTTATTTGTAAAAAATAAATAAATTTTTTTTTAATTAACCCCTTAAGGACCAAACATCTGGAATAAAAGGGAATCATGACATATAACTCATGTCATGTGTCCTTAAGGGGTTAAACAAACACACTGAAATTTAGGCATTTGCTACAATTTCCCAGGATTGAAACATGTTGTGGAAGTAGCACAGTTGCTTTCATATAAAGCAGTGATAGAATTTGTCAATGGTACTGCAGGCCTGTATCTTGTGTATAGCTTCCTGTTATGATGTTACTTGGTGGAAAGTGTGATCTTGTAGCTGTGATGATTTTTGCAACATGCTGCAGTTATAATTAAAAGGGACAGGAACACTTTTTGCAACGTAACCTACTCAAGTACTTAGAATGTTACTTTTTCATTACAAATATTTTTCTTATTCCTTTTAACGCCTTTAGGTAATACACCCATTTCTAGGTTTTTGATTAATATACTCCTGCTTCACTTCATTGACAGCCATTAGGGGCATTTACACCAAATCCCACATGCATATCTTAAAATATAGGCTGGTTTTTCATTAAAGCGTGAGCAGAGTGGAGGAGTGATGGCTTACCTTTGCAAATCCAACAGCGGGGGACTACATGTCCCATAATGCACAGCCACAAATTGGATAGTTGAACATAATGAGAAACAGCTGGCGTGCCAAATGCCAGGCATCTCTACAGCAAAGGAGATTTCTTTTGTTTGATCAACAATGTTGACTAAGTAATATTTTTTGGATGCGCAGGATTAAAAAAAATAATTTACATTATAGTAAGATATGTTTAGAAACATTGCAATGTTTACATAGCAGGGTTAATACTGCCTCTTGTGGCTGTCTACCAGACAGCCACTAGATGCGCTTCCTGTTGTTTTATGGAGTTTGACTCTGTAAAATGTAGCTGGACGTCCTCACAGTTTGTATGCAGACTTCCAGGACTTCCAGCATCAAGTAAAACCCAATAGTAAAGCATTGATCAAATGCCTTTCTATGGGGAGGCCTGATGTGCACATTAGGCCCCCCAACCAGCTGACATCGGTGGAGGCAGAGCTTGACCCCGGGGGAGGGTGGAGAGGGGAGGGGGTACAGGAGCAGAGGGACACATTAGTGTTAGGAATACTTCTTTGTAAATGACACTTTGTGAATGTAAATCCTGCCGGATGGAATCAATCTCTATGTAGTTTAAAATCAATGCTTTGTACATAATCTTTGTAATATATTTTGTATAGCGTTCAGATGTGAAAAGCACATATTTTAAACTAGAAACCAAATACATCCAACCGATTGCTGACTAAATTCCAACCTAAATTAGCTTCTGGAAATATGAGAATTGCCATTCGGGGCAGAATTCATCCATTTTCACTGGTCTATCCAGACCAAATCCGGCGTTTAGTGGGTAACCCTGAGGGTTTTACATTTTAACTGTAAATTTTGGCATGTATTGCAAATGATTTTTTTCCATTGCAGGGGTGCATACATATCTCCCAATACCTCTGGTTCAGATAGAACAGTTACCATCTGGAACACCTGTATACACTTACATGTTTTTTTTTCTCCTGTGTTAAGCTGCTAAGCATATCAAGGAAGAGCTCCCATAAAGCTCACTGCATGTGAGTTATTAAACCCGTCACTTTATTGGGGTGATCAAAGCTGCACAGGTAGATTCAGAGGCCCAGCAATGCAGAATGAATGCAAGCTTGGTTGTTTATTCCATAATGTGCAGGGTACCGCCGGAATGGGGTTAATGTAATTAACTTGCCATACCCTGGCTTTGCCCAAATAGCCAATCATTCCTTGTGATTAAATATGAAAACTATTGTAAAATAAAAATGCAAGCCATAGCTAAATTCCAGTTGTCTATTGTGTTGTGCAAAATTCTCAGTGGTAGCAATGATCTGTTAAGCTCACTTAGAACTGACCAAGCCTATTCCTGGGCATCTCTGGGCACCGTCAGTCCTGGTTGGCTGCTTGTCAACTTCTTGTACATGTGCAGTATGCAGGCACATCATCCCATGCCACTTGTCATCTGACACACACACACACATAACTATGAAATGTTGTGGAGTGTGTTGGGTGAGGGTTATTGAGGTTTTTTTTTAAATTTATTTTGCATTTCCATATATCTCACATTCACTCACCGAAGTCTGGATGCGACGGAAGTCAGTCTCTCTTTTAATCTTATACTGGTCGATATCTGCTGTTGCCTCATCTTTTGCTTGTTTCAAACGCTTATTTTTTCCTGGATTTGAAGAAAACAGAGTATGTAACGCCAAGTTGGTCAAAACAGCAACAACATTTATATTCAATAAACAGCTTACCTCCCAATAGTCTCTATAGTCCCAGATCCAGGAGCTTTACACAAGCTCTACCTATTGTAAGTGCATATCTACTTTATTTTCCTTTCACATATACCACCAATTTACTAGCCCATATAGCCTTCTTTTTTGTGTTTATTTTCGTTCTATATTTGCCACGCTCCTGAGGATCCCCCTAGACGGTGCTTCCTCCATCCGTAGAGACCCACTTTCTGACCAGGACAAGAGAGACTGTGGTTTGGGTTGTTACAACTGCCTTCCCTTACCCACACATTATTAGCGCTAGAAACATATCTCCTTATTTTGTTCAATATATACTTTCTGGTTACATATTGTAATACACCTATTAGAAGGAAGGGTATGCATGGAGGATCTCCCTCAGGGCTATTTTCTGCAGTTAGAATTCAATGTCAATTTCAAATTTAAGGCCAAAACAGCAAAACTAGAAAAAAAATCTTAAAGTAAGCAATGCTTCAGGTTCGGCTACTTTGGCCTTAAATTTGAAATTTACTTTAAAGTCTCACTTTAGTGAATAACTGCCCATTTCCACCTTCTACTTTTTGCATTTTGTTAGAGCAGAACGCAGGAAGTATAAAATGCAAATTGAAAATGTTTCCCCAAACATCTAAAAAAAAACATAAAAGCATTTTATGTGCTGTATTGTCAACAAGGCTAGAGGCTATTTAACCCCTTAATGATGAGTGACGGACGAGGTCCATCACTCAGGGGAAACCCTTAACGACGAGTGACGGACTTTGTCCATCACCCGTTAAAATTAACCCCGGATCGCGGGGTTAGTGGTGCTCCGGTCTGCCTCTGTATTAGAGGCAGACCGGGAGCACCAGATCAGGCTGCCCAGCACATGTGCTCACTCTGACAGCAATTAACCCCTCCCCTGCCAATTGATCTGACTACAGTGAATGAGAGGTTTTTTAACCCTTAGGGGTTAAATTTATTTAACTAATTAATTTAAATATTTTAAAATTATATATTTAGCTAGCTGGGGTGGGGGGAAGTTAGTGGGGAATTGGGGGGTTTGTGTTAGGTTAACTAGGGGTTAACGTTGAAAAAAGTTTTAAAATAAACTTTAAAAAGTTAAAGATTAAGCTAAAAAAAAAGTTTTTATAACGTTTAAGTAAAAAATAAAAAACACCCCCCTTTACCCAGTACAAATAAAAATTAACCCCTTCCCTGCCAGTCGATCACTGCCTACAGTGATCAAAATACAGATCACAATATTATACCGTGATCTAATTTTTTTTTAACCCATGAGGACTAACGTTTATTTATTTTTTAACCCTCAGGGGTTCAATTTATTTAATTAATTAATTTAAATATTTTATAATTATATATTTTGCTAGCTGGGGTGGGTGAGAGTTATGGGAAAATTGGGAATTTACTGTTAGTGCTGCTTACTGCTAGTTAGGGGTTAACGGTAAAAAAAAAAAAGCTTAGGAAAATGTTAAATCTGTAAAAAAAGTTTTAAGAAAGTTTAGGAAAGTTAAAAAACTAGTTTTTAAAAGTAAAAAAAGTTTCAAAAAGTAATAAATACATGTAAAAATGCTCATTACCACTACACCTGGAACAAACTAGAGAAAAAATGATCCCACGCTAAGGTTCAAAATATGCCTTTTGAATTACCCCAGGGTGTATTCTTTAAAATAGTATGTGTTTGTGGGGAAGTTTCAATAACCAACCGTCTAAACTACCCCAAATTGGAACATGGACACAGCGTAAAACTTCAAAGTTAGAAAAAAACTGAATGGCTGCGTCTTAAATGCGCCCCTTCAACATCCACATATACCTGGCAAAGGTACATGCGGGGGTATTGCTGTACTCAGCCGACATAGCTGAGCAACATATGAAGCATTATACAGTCGTAGCACACATAAGGTTTGCAAAATATACTGCGCAAACTCACTTTGTGTGTCAAAAAGGCAGAAAAAACGCTTATTACCACTACACTTGGTACAAGCTAGCGGAAAAATGTCTTCTTTAAGAAATGGTATGGCTTTATGGGGTATTTAGATTACATAGCCTGGTAAAATACTCTAAAATGGGACATGGGCACAGCGTAAAGATTTAAAGTTTAAAAAAAACTGGAATGGCTGTGTCCCAAATGTGCCCCTCCGATGTCCACATATACCTGGCAAAGGTACATACGGGGGTATTACTGAACTCAGCTGACATAACTGAGCAACATATGAAGTATTATATAGTGGTAGCACACATAAGGTTTGCAAAATATACTGTGCAAACTCACTTTGTGTGTCAAAAAGGCAGAAAAAACGCTTATTACCACTACACTTGGTACAAGCTAGCGGAAAAAATGATCCCACGCGAAGGTTCAAAATATGCCTTTTGAAATACCCTGGGATGTCTTCTTTAAAAAATGCACAAAATAATTTTTTACCACATACTTTGGCATATATTGGTATAAAAATTGGGGCATGTTAAGGCACAATATGCACCTTATGAGATACCCTGGAGTGTCTACTTTTACAAATGGTAGGCCTTTGTGGTTTTTTTTTTTGAACAGTCAAACTGTTATAATACCTCAAATGGAAGCTAAGGCTCTCAAAATTCTACTGTGAATACTGAAAAGGACAGGTCTCCCATATGGCACTGTAAATTCACGAAATAGTGCCAAAGACATACAATGGGGGTGTAATTTTACTCAGCAGATGTAACTGAACACAAAATAAAACTTTGTACAGGAATAGCACACACCAACGTTACAAAATATACTTGAGAATTTCTTTGTTATAAGTTTGTGTGCCAAAAACCAAAAAAACTCCCACAATTTTACTCCAATATTTAGCAGAGATTGGCGGTGAAATGGCTACGTAGAAAGTGTCAAAACAACCTTAGGTAAATAGCCTGTGATGTCTACTTTATATAAATATATACTTTTGTGTTGCAATTTTGTTTTCTTTTATGGCTATTAAGCTTACAAGACAAACATACCAAATTCTAAAATCGTTCTACATTAAAAGTTTATTTTACTCCTTGTGCTTTGTGACCTGTAACTACCACAAAAAACTGAAAATCCCAGACACATTATATATTCTGTAAATCAGAACAACTAAATGAATTTATTTTTAATTACTTTCTTTAACCTGCACTAATTGTGCACACATTATTATTGCAAACACTGTAAAAAAAGCACAAGATTTAAATTCTTGCATTTTTCTGTATTTTTTTATAATAAATAAGCATTTGTATATATGCTCCAAATCTCGCAAGAGTGAACTCTAGCCCTGGAGCTATGGGCTAGAGTTCACTCTCCCCACTGGGCCATCAGAGATTCCCCACCGGACCACCAGGGATCCAGAAATGTCCCCCCTCCTCCCAGTTCAGGTAAAAAGGGAGAGGGAGACATAATTAATATTTATTTTAATTAAATTAATTAAAAAAGCATATTATAAAAAAGCCCCCCCCCCAGTTTTATCACACACACTCACACCCTACACACACACATTGCCCCTCCCCCTCACACACATATACTGCCCCCCCATACACACACTGCCCCCATACACACACATTGCCCCCCATACTGCCCCCCATACACACACACTGCCCCCCATACAGCCTCCCATACACACACAATGTCCCCCATACTGCCCCCCCATACACACACACACTGCCCCACACACTGCCCCCCATACACACACACTCTGCCCCCCCATACACATACACTCTACACACATACACTATCCCCATACACACACACTGTATGGACTCAGCAGTCTGTGTGTGTGTGTATGGACTCAGCAGTCTGTGTGTGTGTGTGTGTATGGACTCAACAGTCTGTGTGTATGGATTCAGCAGTCTGTGTGTGTGTATGGACTCAGCAGTCTGTGTGTGTGTGTATGGACTCAGCAGTCTGTGTGTATGGACTCCGCAGTCTGTGTGTGTGTATGGACTCAGCAGTTTGTGTGTGTATGGACTCAGCAGTTTGTGTGTGTATGGACTCAGCAGTCTGTGTGTGTGTGTGTGTGTGTGTACGGACTCAGCAGAGTCAGCAGAGTCTGTGTGTGTACGGACTCAGCAGAGTCTGTGTGTGTGTACGGACTCAGCAGAGTATGTGTGTGTGTACAGACTCAGCAGAGTCTGTGTGTGTGTACGGACTCAGCAGAGTCTGTGTGTGTGTGTACGGACTCAGCAGAGTCTGTGTGTGTGTGTACGGACTCAGCAGAGTCTGTGTGTGTGTGTATGGACTCAGCAGAGTCTGTGTGTATGGACTCAGCAGAGTCTGTGTTTGTGTGTATGGACTCAGCAGTCTGTGTGTGTGTGTATGGACTCAGCAATCTGTGTGTGTATGGACTCAGCAATCTGTGTGTGTGTGTATGGACTCAGCAGAGTCTGTGTGTATGGACTCAGCAGAGTCTGTGTGTGTGTGTGTGTGGACTCAGCAGTCTGTGTGTGTGTGTATGGACTCAGCAATCTGTGTGTGTATGGACTCAGCAATCTGTGTGTGTATGGACTCAGCAATCTGTGTGTATGGACTCAGCAGAGTCTGTGTGTATGGACTCAGCAGAGTCTGTGTGTGTGTGTATGGACTCAGCAGTCTGTGTGTGTGTGTATGGACTCAGCAATCTGTGTGTGTGTGTGTGTATGGACTCAGCAGTCTGTGTGTGTGTATGGACTCCGCAGTCTATCAATAATTAAAATTCCTGTGAGTTGTTGTGTAGGAAGGGCCCCAGTGTATTGCTTTGCCCAGGGGCCCTTAACTCTGTTAAAATGGTACTGCTTGTGTGTGTCAGTGAGCTTCTATTTAGTGAGCATGTGTGTGTCAGTGAGCTTGTCTTTAGTGAGCATGTGTGTGTGTCCCTGAACTTCTTTGTAGTGAGCCTTCTGTTTATACAAGTGAGTGTCTGTAGTAAGCTTGTGTGTGAGTCAGAGAGTTTTGTCTGTCAGTAAGCCTATTTGCGCATGTCAGTGAGCTTGTGTGCTTACTGTACTATATATATATATATATTTTTATTTTTTTATTTTTTTTTACTTGTAGGAATGACATACGTTTTTTTTCCAGGGCTGCTTTGGATTCCCAGGGATTCCCAGTTTGGCTCTGCCAGCGAGTGCACTTTACCGCTGAATAATCTGTGTGAGCTGCCGCACACTTAAGCCCTGTTACACGCGTCTGGGAGCTGCTGTTGACAGGTACTAGTAGTCTAGAGATTGGGGTTTATGCTCAGCTATCTGTATAATACAGATCTGTGTGTATAAAATATCCCTGGGTAGTCAGTGCTTCCTGTATAGTGTTGCTCTCTGTCTTGGGATATTATACACAAACAGACCTGTATTATACAGAGAGCAGCACTATACAGGGAGCACTGAGTGTCCCAATTTATTATAAACACAACCCTGTATTATACAGAGAGCACTGACTATCCAGGGATATTATACCCAGACAGTAATTGATAGCTGTGCTGCAAAATGTCCTTGGAAATTTTTTTTCAAATGTTGGCAACTATGGCACTGTATCAAGGATAATGTGTTTGTTTTTTTAATAATCCCTGGTGGAAAATAATGAATCCTCCACCAGGTATTATTAAAAAAACAAAACACATTGTGTAGGGGGCGTGGCTTAACATGCGACAGGGGCAGGGTCAAACTGCGATGAGGGCGGGGTTAAATGTGCCCCCCGAAAAATGAATCCTAGAGACGCCACTGGTTGTCTTGTTACCCTGAGGAAAGTCCCGAATAGGCACACTATATATATTGTACAGTAAGCACACAAGCTCACTGACATGCGCAAATAGGCTCACTGACAGACATGTATGTACGTAGTGGGGAATCGCGATGCAGCATAATATAAACCAACCCATATCATCCCCCTTCCAAAATAATGACAGACAACGTAGTATGGATGAAACAGGCCACAGCATTTATTATCACATATGACAAATACTGTATGACACATCCATAATTTATTTAATACATTTCTCTTCATTTCTGTAACCAAAACGTTAAACATAAATAACCATAAATTTACATATATATGCATATAACTTAACACATAGTGTCATACAGTAAACCCAACCGTCCTTGCCAATAAACTGACCATGCGCCTATGTGCGGCTTCCTCTCACCTCCCCCCTTGTCATAAAAATCATTTCCTTCCAATGCCTACCATCAGCCGACCTTATGCACGCTCGATGGGTACGATACCCCAGGTAACCTAAGGTTAACCCTTTGAAGCAGGTGAGGTTGAGACCTTAAAAACTTGTTCATCTCATTCCATATACTTAAACGTAACCCCTCAAACTCAATTGGCAAGGACATACCCCCGCCACAACCCCGCTGGCCTGTTCCACCGCTGGCCTGTTACACCACTTCTTGCACAATCAGCGGGGGACCCCACCACAACCAGCCATGGCCTGTTCCACCACTTCTTGCAGCGCTAGATCAACATAGGCCTAGTCCGACCTCCAGCAAGCGCACCCATCCCCTCGCGATAACTAGGCCACATCCCGCTCAAAACCCTAAGGCGACTGAAATCCCCCAAGCCCCCAAGACAAACCTAGAAACCCATCTCGTCCGATTTTCAATGGCAGCACACCAGGGCACTCACATTACTGCCAACAGGAATGGGCGGTAGCCTCAGCCCAGCCCCTGAGAACCTCTGGGAAGAAAACAGAATGCGTAACATGTCCAGATTAAAGATCAACCCAAATCCCAAACAATCACTGAACCCAGGTCATGCCACCCAGATGGATGACAAAACCCCCGGTACCCCCAGGAGGTGGGATAGCTGACCCAGGACGGGGAAGAGCCACACCCCATTATGTATCCAGTGCCAGACCACCAAACCTCCGCTCAAGAAGGCGGATCCACCACTCGCCCCCTGCCTCCTGGCCCAAAATGACATAGGAGCAACCCACCATCCCTACTCCAGGGAAAACCATAACTGCGGAGAGAAATCAATTCCGGAGACCGACAGGGTGAACCTAAGGAACCTACCACCCTGACTCCCACCTTTTGAGCCCTTTGAACCATTGGCGCATGCACATCAAGCATGGCGCCCCTAACCGGAATGAATGCCCCCTGAACTCCCCACCATCCTTACCCAGGAATTCAAGCCCCAAGTGAAACACCCCAACGAAATGGACGCAGGAGAGAAAATCCGTCTGCGAGAACCAAATAAGGGCTGAGGAGGCCGAATAATCCAGGGGATGGAATAGCACTCACCTAAAGAAAACCGGACAAATGCCGGAACCCGACACGGCCCCGATCGGAACGGTATAATCCGAACTATCCTGGGAACCTAGTACATCATGTTAGGAGCCCAACTATTACCCTGTGTTAAGACACCTCCAGTGTCTTTAGGCAAAACCGCCGTTTAGTAGACCTTCCCCGGCTGTAGTACAGTCTCTGTTCGCTTAATCTGTAATACACTAACCAAATGCAGGGGAAGCGGCAATCTCCCGAACGAGATCCGTGAACGGCTCCAAACTCCCGAACGGCAATACACGAACTGCTGGCAACCGTCGAACAGCAATATTCACCAAGCGGCTTCCGTTCCATCCAGCAGTCTCTAAACATGAAGAAGAAATCCCCCCAATAACGAGACAGAAGCTCCGCATTGAGGGTCAAACAGGATCTGGCTTTACTGTGGGCTACCTGCCCGTATTTATGCAGGTCTCCCACCTGGTGGACACTCCCCTAGGGGACCAAATGGGAGACTTAAATGACAGACAGATATGGGGACATTCCAGACACACAGTCACAGATTTTACCCACAGTGCATTATGATTCCCTCCCCTCTGCCCTGGAGTTAATTACCAAGTAACTCAATTAACTCCAGGACAAAGCCAGTCGCCATCTTAGACATAAAATAATAAAAGACATAAAAATATATAACTACACGAAAACCGAACATTTCCCATTCGTATCACCCATCCCCAGATAGCCTGGATCTGAGTGCATATTATTAGCGAATAGCGCTCAGATCCCACACACATAGTTCAATCGCCATGGAGTCAAAGTTCTTACAGTCTTTCGGTATACGAATGACTCCATGGGAAGGCTATCTGGGTTAAGTCTTTTCGTATGCTCCAAATCTCCCGAACGGCCGGTGTTCGCATGCTTTCGTGGAGGCAGCTAGGCGTTCCGTTGTTTCAGCGGTGTTCGGCAGAAAAAGTGTCAGTTTTTAGTTCCATAGAAATAGAGCCAAACACCGCTGGGCGTTCGCTTGATTTAAAATGGCCGCTGCCTCGTGGTCGACATACGAACGACGACCACCCTGAATTCGGTTTAATTGAGAAGTGTCTGCGGTTAACCACAACGTTCTAATTGGGATCACTACGTTAACCAGCAGCACACTCCTCTCTTGGGTGGCCGTTCGTTCGGCAGGTTTGTTCGGGAAAAAAAGAGTCATTCGAATGGCTGGGCTATAGAAACCAGCCATTCATACGAACGGGAGACAAACAGACGAATGCAGTAAAAATCCAAGCAGACAGATGGTTCTGTCACACCCTGCACATTCCATCTACCTCAGGAGAATGCGGAAGGGCCAGGTTATGTCAACCCCGCAACGTCCAAGAAATGAACAGATTCTATTGATGAATCAGCCAACCGCTACCAACTTACCCTTCCCAAAGGCAACAGCCATTGAGCGGCGAAACCTTAAGGAAGTCCATTCCGATGCTCACTCAACCCACTGAAACACCCTCCCACCTGTGGACGACCGTAACATGAATGGGAAGCCGAGCCCTGCAAATTGAAGAACTCACTAAGGAGGACTACCCCCCAGCCCCCAACACCCTTAAGACACAGAACAAAACACGTAGATGAGCAGTCTAATCCTGGAACCCCCCAAGGAAATGCTCCCATCCGGCCCAATCACTCACACCTTACTATAGTGGTCCCCACGCCGCCTCAGAGATCGACCTACGGATCAACCTCATCAGTCCGCTCGACCAAGCGACCACATCTCCACTGCCCTATAATTTGGCCCCTATGGAGCCCCCGCCCAAAGTACGTCCCACAGTGAACGAGATAGAGCATCAGCCATTACATTGTGAAGCCCCTGGAAAACCCCGCCTGATCAGACACTTCCAGACTCAACTGCGCCGAGCCAGGCGCCGCGACCAGAGTACCACCAGGGTGGAGGACACTGTCACATGATAAACAGCCTGCACCACCCCAAGATTGCTGCAGTGGAAGAACTACTCACCTGTTCGTGAGTTGGATACCCCCCGCCTACCATGCCACCAGAATGGAGAAAAGCTCCATGACAGCCAGAGGCTGCAAGAGCCCCAATGCTTGCCAGCTTACTGGGCAAGAGTCAGCACACCATTGAGAGCCCAAAAATGGCCCCAAACCCCCCAAACCTGCTGCAGCTGTAAACAGGCGGAAGTCAGTGGAAGAGACCTACGGGGCCTGCCTGCAAAAGCTACTATTATGGGAGGCCAAGAAGGAACCCCAGGCGAAGCCTAGCTTATCCAGGAGAGCCCACTGACACCCCCTGCCTGATGTCGTAAACTGCAGTCAGGGGCAACCGACGTTGCCCCGCTGTAACGAGAATATACCCCAACACGCAGGATTCAGCTAAACAAAAGACAACACAGAGGAGAGCTACGTCTACCGGACCTTAGAATGGCCGGACTCGACGTATATGAGAGGAGACAGAGTCAGGAACAATCCGAAATCAAGGGCACAGAGAGACAGCGTAAACTAAGACAAGCCGGGGTCTGGTACACAGTAAACAACAAGCCGACAACCAGAACAGATAAGGATAAAGAGAAAACGTAGTCAGAAACAAAGCCAAGGTCAATACGGAGAAACACAACTGAACACAACAAGCGCTAAAGGGAACTGATACAGAAACCACGATAGGGCAAGGAACAAAGGAAAGAAGGTGAGTATAAATACCTAAACATCTAATTTGATTGGTCCCTGTCACATCCACGCCCCCAAAAGGTAAGTGTATGGGGAGTGTGGCATGACAGGGACCAATGGGATGCCTTTTCCAATTTAGGCACCCACTGTCCCTTTAAGAGCGCGCCCGATACGCGCGGCGCGCTCTTAGAGTAGGTAGAACACGTGACCGCTACTAGTTACAGCGGTCGGCTGAGCCGCGCGCGGCTCGTGCAGCAGCAGGACCGCGCGCGGCTCGAACAGAGGACCCCGGCCGGCCCCTGGAAAGGGTAAGTACCGCTACACCCGCCCTGGAATCGATCCCACTATCCGGGAAACTACAGCCTGTATCCTGACCCACGGTTATGTCCTGGGCCACGGAACTCCAAAACGCTGAACCACTACCCCAAGAAAATGCCGCAGCAGCAGAGCAAGGACGTGCGACACTGACAGCCCCACACAGGAGCAGCATTGGGAGCAAACCTTGTGGAGGCACATAGTCACTTAACACTGCCCGTCAGAAATACAGCCTGGAAAACAATAACCCGCCGGGCGCACCGGCAGCAGCCGGAAAGCCGATTCCACGGTTGCTGTCGTCAGCAAGGCCTCAGGGCCCCAAAGCTCAGACTGCTGCGTCTTGCCACACCACCCCATACCTAACCCCTTGGAGGGAACGACAAATGAGTAAATAAGGAATCAGGTGCAATCGTCCCCCCGCTCCTCTATGGGCACAACATCCCAAGGGACTTCGGGGGCACACTAAAAACGGTCGGGAGGTAAGCTTCTTGGTAAGCCGCTCCCGCACCATCCGATGGAAGTCTCAAAAAGCCTCTGGCTGGGGGTCAGTGAGGAGGAGGGTGTTCCCCCACAACTCCGCCCCAAGAAAAGACAAAAACGCGCCGTGCTGAGACGTCGGACGAGCCATAAAGGAAAACCAGAGGTCTAAGTCCATCCGGTCTCAGGCCAAGAAGGGTCGCACGCCTACCGTGGACGAAAGTGCAAGACGTACCTTCACCAACCAGCTCACCCTACGGACGACACGCATCCCAGAGGGTGTCCAGACAGCAGAACAACACAAGCATTCTCAGGGAGCCCTATCCTCGACAATGCTATCCATAACATACGATGCCCGGACACAATTCCCGCATGTCATGTGGTGTATCTGAGTACGGTATTTTTTACCCTCTCAATCAAGGGACCCCCAGTGGCAGGAGGGAACCCATCTCTAATAAAAAACCCTTCCCCAATCTGCTCCCTAATATTTTGCGAGAAGTGCAAGCCAAGCGGGCCATACTAGCGCACATTAGCAGTGCCCAGAGCCACATGAAACACCCGCCTCCTATGAGATATCGCCAGCGCTCTTAGCTGCACAGGAAGCTGCAGGAAACTGTACTAAAGCATACAATAAATATTGAGAATTGGGGGGGGGGAATACCAGAGTGGACTCCCTGGTAAGCAGTGTCCATGCACTGTTTCTCTCTTTTTTATTGTCATTTTATTTATCCATTTTTATTTTATTTATTAATGTTATTTAATTTTTATTTTTTTATAGCGCTAAGACCCCCCCCCCAGGAATCCGACTAGATAAAAGAAGGAACAACGTACTCACCAGCCAATGCCCGGCGTATCGCCCGCAGCATAACAAGCGGAGAAGGTCCAGACAGAAGACACGGAATTCAGCTTCCACTGTGTTCTTCCAAGATGTTCCAGGATTTGTGCAACGGTGAGAAGGTGACCCACGCTCCACACCAGGAGGCAGCCAAGGTAAGTGACCAGCAGGGGGGACCACACAGATAGAACAGGGACACACAGATAGAACAGGGAAACACAGAGGGGAGGGGAGGGGAGGGTAGGGGAGAGGGACCCCCAGGAACATGGAGCACACCAAGGAGGGAAAGAAAAAGGAAAAAGGGGGGATGGATTGGGAAAGGACCCCACACACGGGGGTGGGGGTGGGGGCAGAGGCCCCCGGAGCAAGCCGGGCCCCGCAATTGACACCAGGGGGAACCAGATAAACGGAGCGACAAGGGGTAGGGGGGGAACAGGGGAGAGAGGCCCAGGGGAGCCTACCTCACCTGCCGAGGAGGCTCCCGACACACCAGAGTCCCTCCCCCGATCCTGACGGGAACATGCTGTCCGCCATCCACTGCCCCCAGCTGTGGATGCAGGCCGGGTAGGTCGCGCTTCCCGCGTGGTACATGACGGTCGCGTATCCTAATGAAAAGATACAAGCCGCGTGTCTGGAGCCCCCAGGCACGCGGTCCTGGCGATGCCTCGGGCTCCTACACCTCAACCGGGCCCGAGGAGAAGTGACAGGGTTCCCCCCTTAATGGCAGAGTACTCCCCTTTAGCGGCGGGGTACCCCTTGGACGTGGAAGGGTACCCCCCTTTAGCACTAGGGTACCCCCTTGGACATGGCAGAGTACCCCCACGCGGTCCTCTGGCCCTGAGCAGGGGCCACAGGGAAGGCCCCAGAGGGACACAGGCTGTGGGGGGGGACCCACGCCGGCAGCCACCGCAGGGGAGAGAATATCACCTGGGTCAGGAGTCGCTGGCCACAATCCAGCAGCTTGGAGGGAAGCCAGTAGGCCTCAACCTCATCCCTCAAGCTGGTAAACTTGCAGGCCCAGGCAAACAGGAACAGGAGAACAGGAAGCTGTTTGGTGGCCCGAATCCCAAGTGGCACTGAGGTAAGACCTCCCCCACACTAATTTACATAGAACATAATCCCACCCACACATTCTTTCCCAGAACATAATTCCACCCACACATTCTTTCCCAACCAATCCCATGCATCTATCCCCACACTCATACATGAGCCACTGTCCGCTTAGCTGCACTATCTCCCCAGGGCCTAAACTGTCTGACTCACACACAAGTTTACTACAGACAAACTCACTTGTATAAACACAAAGCTCACTACAAAGAAGTTCAGGGATACACACAAGCTCACTAAAGACAAGCTCACTCACACACAAGCAGTACCATCTTAACAGCGTTATGGGCCCCCAGGCAAAGCAGTGCACTGGGGCCCTTCCTACACAACAACTCACAGGAATAAAATTTTGAATTATTGATAGACTGCTGAGTACATTATTATCATTATGATATGTATATATCGCCATCAAATTCCGCAGCGCTTTACAATGGGTGGACAAACAGACATGTAGTTATAACCAGACAAGTTGGACACACAGGAACAGAGGGGTTGAGGGCCTTGCTCAATGAACTTACATGCTAGAGGGAGTGGGGTAAAATGACACAAAAAGGTAAGGATAGTATTAGACTAGTGACAGTTGCAGATGAGGAATCAGTCAGGAGCTATTAACAGTTTAATTGATACGCTTTTATGAAGAAGTAGGTTTTTAACGATTTTTTGAAGGAGTGGAGACTGGGTGAGCATCTAACGGAGGAGGGAAGCGAGTTCCACAGGAACGGTGTAGCCCTCGAGAAATCTTGAAGGTGAGCATCAGAGGTGGGAGTACAGACAGAAGATAGACGTCAGTCTTCAGCAGATCGTAGGGGCCTAGATGGGACATACTTGTGTATAAGGGAGGATAGATAGGTGGGAGCAGCATTATGTAGAGATTTGAAAGCAAGAACCAGAACACTGAATACGAACACAGAGAGACTGCTGAATACACACACACACACAGATTTCTGATAGCACACAGACTCCTGAATGCACACAGACGTTGCTGAATGCACACAGGCTGATTTATACACGTACACACAGACTGCTGAGTCCATACACACACACTGCTGTGTCCATACACACACACAGACTACTGAGTCCATACACACACACAGACTGCTGAGTCCATACACAAACACGCAGGCTGCTGAATCCATACACACGCACAGACTAACAGACTGCTGAGTCCATACACACACAGACTGCTGAGTCCATATACACACAGACACACAGACTGCTGAGTCCATACACACACACAGACTGCTGAGTCCATACACACACAGAAACACACACAGATTGCTGAGTTCATGCACACGCACAGAAACATACACAGACTGCTGAGTCCTTACACACACACAGACTACTGAGTCCATACACACACACACAGATTGCTGAATCCATACAGACACACAGACTGCTGACCATACACACACACACACACACACAGACTGCTAAGTCCATACAGAAACACACACTGCTGAGTCCATACACACACACACTGCTGAGTCCATACACACACACACACACAGAAACACACACAGACTGCTCAGTCCATACACACACAGACTGCTGAATCCATACAAACACACATACTGCTGACCATACACACACACAGACACACAGACTGCTGAGTCCATACACACAAATAGACACACAGACTGCTGAGTCCATACACACACACATACACACACACAGACTGCTGAGTCCATACACACACAAACACACACAGACTGCTGAGTCCTCACACACACACAGACTGCTGACCATACACCACACAGACACACAGACTGCTGACCGTACACACACACAGACACACAGACTGATGAGTCCATAAACACACATACACACACACACACACAGACTGCTGAGTCCCTACAAACACACACACACAGAGACTGCTGAGTTCATACACACACACACACACACACACACACACAGACTGCTGAGTACATACACACACAGACACACAGACTGCTGAGTCCATACATACACACACACACACACACACACAGACTGCTGAGTCCATACAAATAGACACACACACACACAAGGACTGCTGAGTCCATACACACACACAGACAGACTGCTGAGTCCATACACACACACAAAGACAGACTACTGAGTCCATATACACACACACACACACACACACACAGACTGCTGAGTCCATACACACACACACACACACACAAGCTTCCTCATTAGCAGACAGACAGTCAGATAGACACACACACACCTGAGCATATCAAGCCTACCTGTCACTGGAGGCTGTTGCTGGGTGATCAGACAGCCATCTTCTGGCCTTTCCAACAGCAGCAAGGTCTGCTGCTTAACGGCAGGGGCAGAGGTTATGTGCAGGAGATGGGGCTTCGTTTGGGGGAGGGTCCTGTGCTGGGAAAACTGGTGAAAACACCCAGACTGTAACAGTCCGAGGGAATATAATTTAAGCACATGGCCAGCAAGTTGCCGTCATTTGGGGGAGCACTGGGGGCGGGCACAGCATGATGTAGGGGAGGTCATGGCCCTCTCTGCCCCCCTAGTGACGCCACTGTCCCCAGTGCACACACAGACACACTGCATAGCACACACAGACACAGTACATCCCTAGCACACACACCACATCCCCAGCACACACTACATCACCAGCATATACACTGCATCCCCAGCACACACACTACATCCCCAGCACACACAGACACACTACATCCCCAGTGCACACCAGTGGTGTATCCTGGTTTTGTGCTGCCATAGGCAGGACAAAACTAAGGCCCCCTCAACCCCCCCAACCAAGCCTTCCCCCCGCCCCGCCTTCTAAATACACACACACACATTCACTGACAGATACTCATACACTAGCTAACAGAAACACACACTCGCTAACAGAAACACACACACTAAAAGACACACTCACTAACAGACAAACACACACTCACTCACTAGCAGACACACACTCACTCACTAACAGACACACACACACACTAACAGACACACACACATACACTAACAGACACACACACACACTAACAGACACGCATACTAACAGACACACACACTAACAGACACACACACTAACAGACACACACACACACTAACAGACACACACACACACACTAACAGACATACACACACACACTCACATTAACAATTTTTTTTGTATTTAACCCCCCAGCCTCCTTACCTTTGGGAATGCTGGGGGGGGTTCTCTTTCTCCCTGGGGTCTAGTGGGGCTGCTGGGCTGCTGGGCGGGTGGCTGGCGAGGGAGCACTTTCCCCTGAGCTGTCTGCTCAGCTCCCTTGCGCGCCGTAGAGTGATGCTGGGAGCCGGAATATGACGTCATATTCCGGTCCCCAGCCTCGCTCTGCGGCATGCGAGGGAGCTGAGCAGAGCAATCAGGGCAAACTGCATCCCCAGTGCACACACAGACACACTGCATGCCTAGCACACACACACTACATCCCTAGCGCATGCACACTACATCCCTAGCACACACACGCTACATCCCCAGCATACACACACAGACATGCTACATCCCAAGCACAGACTTACACTAAACACTACATCCCTAGGACACACACAGACACACTACATCCCCAGCACACATACAGACACACTACATCTTCCATCACACACACACTACATCCCTAGCACACAAACTACATCCCCAGCCCACACACACAGACATACTACATCTCCAGCACACACACCACTACTTCCTACGTGACAACTTAACTTACTTTTTTTTGTTTTGTTATTGTTAGTGATTGATGTATATTGTACTTAGCTAATATTTTATTACCACTGCAGAAGCATATATGTTGTAAAATTTAATTTAATGTGCAATTATCTAAATATGTTACTGGAATGTATTTATCTAATCTGTGAGGATATTTATGGGGTGAAAAATATTAAAATAATATTTTCATAAAATTTATCAAAAATGTATTAAATAATTTTTATTATATCAAAATTGATATCTTGGCGCGGTTCCCCGAAAATGATAATATAAACCTGAAAATTACTCACAATTTTTAATTCTCTTAGATCCCAGAGGACGTTCATCAGAGGATTTTTACTTCAAACAGTGATCACAATTTGATTATAAAAATATAATTTATTGTGACAATAATAATAAAATGATAAAAATATGTAACATGCCTGACAATCAGTGAATATTTAGGTATAACGTAGCCATACAATATGGCAATGGTTTAAACATAATACAGTGGCTAAAAACAACCATTTGTCAAGAACTTAACAAGATTTATGATAGGTTACTTCACTTAGAAACTAACTTCACACAGAACACACAGCACAGCCTAAAGCAATAAAACTTGGTTTTCAGTTAGATCACACTGAGTAACCCTTCCACTGCTGGCTACAATCCTCCTAAGCAAGATATCCTATTCTGTTGTAATTTTTTCAATTATATATAATCATACCAGATCATTAACCATTTCCTAGGACCATCCAATAAGAATAATTCTACCAGATTTTACATTTGCTCAATTTTAACTTTCCTAAATAAGATTCACTATCTTATATCAGAACAAGTCAATACATCTGGATAAATGTGGCATGCTAACCTTTGGCAAATATCACCTTTAATATATTGTTATCTTTATTCCACCTGCAGGAATGAAATTTTTATAACCACATATTCCTTAGCTAACTAAGATTTCTAATGATTGAAATCTGACCAAGATTTATCCAGACATATATTCTTGCTATTATTAAAATGTCAATTAATTTAATTTAATTAAATAAAATTAGCATAATTACCAGTTATGTTGTAGATTTTCTTATCAGATAGGTCCCAGGCATTAATGGAAGTATGATTGATGTATAGAGGATTGTATGTAATAAAAAAAGTATTAAGAATTATGTGTGTTAAGAGAGAGTATCTTGAGTACAGTCCAAATGTTTCAAAGAGAGTTTGAATGTGGTCAAAGTGTATGTGTTCCAAAGAGCTGAGTGTTTGAATCTCTGAGTCTTTGAATCTTTGAATGTTGAATCTCCCTCTCTTTCCTTTGTCCTTACTTTTTACAGGGCCAAACTCTCTGCACATCACTAATTGATAGGACCAATAGGGAACTGTAGGTGTGTCTTCCCTACAGACTATCATCTATTTTTAGTCAGTAGATGGTGCAATTACATCACCAAAATTTCTTGTCATGGGGTCCATTTGCCTTTATGCATAATGGGTTAACTGAAATTGATGATGCGTTTGATGTCATTTTCAGCTATCTTTATGGTTACTATAAATCTAAATTCCTGCCAACTTCAAAGGCTTTGTTTCTCTCTTACCCAGACTTAGCGGCGGCAACTTTGATCGTAATTCTAGAACTGACACCTCCTAACCTTTTTTTTTTTAGAAATTAACATTAGTTACTTAGGGTTATCTGTCATTGGCTTTCTTGTGTGAAGCTGTGTGTAAAATTACTAACATTATTAAATAATATATTTCTTCATTGATATTTATCAATGAATAGTCTATATTATTAACATAATACTAATTATATATGATAATATACTAATAGTAATTATAAGTGGATAGTGTGTATGTGTATATATAATACTGTATACATTTGTCTCTGGGTTAGTATTCCATCCCCCTTCTGCTGTGAGACACCATGCCTTATCACTTATCTTGTTTACATAACGCATTCCTTAGCTCAGACTTGAATTAATAGAGTTACAGAAAGAAATTCTGTGTCTGTCTTGGCCTTGTAATACAATATGGAGTCACCTATGTTCTGAGTGTGACTGGCAATATACACTTTTAATTTCTGTCTTAACACAAAATGTCTGCCGATATAAATATACTGACAAATCATAATATATTTCATTTTGGTTTTAATTATCATAATACAACATAATGATTGTGGGCATGTTTTGGTGGCGTTGTTTTGGGGGACCCAGGCAGAAAAATGTCTTGGGCCGGTATCTGTGTTTGTCATTGTATCTGTATGCATATGAGTGTGTGTATCTATGTGTCTGTATGTGTGTTTCAGTGTGTGTATCTATATGTCTGTATCTGTATATCTGTATTTGTGTGTGTGTGTGTGTGTCCATTTATCTGCATGTGTGTCTGTGTATCTACATGTGAATCTGTATCTGTATGTGTATGTGTGTCAATGATTGTATCTGTGTGTCTATGTATCTGCATGTGTGGCAGTGTGTGTGTGTCTGTACATCTGTATGTGTGTCAATGTTTATATCTGTATGTGTATCTGTGTGTCTGTGTCTGTATGTATATGTGTGGCAGTGTTGCCATCTGTTTGTCTGCATGTGTGGCAGTGTTTGTACCTGTGTGTCTACATTTGTTTATGTGTTAGTGTGTGTATAAGTATGTCCTTGCAACTATATGTATGTTAGTGTATGTATCTGCATGCATGACAGTATGTGCATCAGTGTGTCTGTGCAACTGTATGTGTGTCAGTGTTTGCATCTGTATATCTACAGGTGTGAAAGTGCCTGTCTGTACCTCATGTGTCAGTCTATGTGTCTGTATCTATGTGTGTCAGTGTTTTCTCTGTGGGTATGTGCATGTGTGTCATTGTTTCTGTGCAACTGCATGTGTCTCTTCATTTGCATGTGTATCTCAGTTCTTGTATCTGTATCTATGTATCTGCATGTGTGTCAGTGTGTGTATCTGTATTAACTATCTGTATGAATATGTCATCATTTGTATGTATGTCAGTGTTTGTATCTGTGTGTCTGTATCTGTATTTGTGTCAGAATTTGTATCTGTGTATCTGCACGTGTGTCAGTCTGTGTGTTTGTGTATCCACATGTGTGTATCTGCACTGTGAGGAGCCTGGAACAGAGAAAAAGGGGGAGATGGGACAGAGAAATGCATATAAATTTGAAAGAACAGCAACTATAATAATTACAAATATTTTGCTAATATAAAGGGTACTATTTATGGAAACAGGCTTCCAAGGAGTACTAAAGAGAAAAAAGTTTGGGAACCACTGCAGTGTATTCTTTCACGCCTCACGTTTTAGTAGAAAAGGCTGCTATTGGCTGATCTAATTCCAATTTCCTTTTTTCCATGGAATTTATTGTTTCTCACTGTAACTCTCAACCATCTTTCTTTTCCTTTTATTTGATGGCGCTATGCATGAAGACGCTGCTATTGGCTGGTCTAATTCCAATTTCCTTTTTTTCCAGGGAATTAATTGTTTCTCACTGTCACTCTCAACCATATTTCTTTTCCTTTTGTTTGATGGCGCTATGCATGTAGACGCTGCTATTGGCTGGTCTAATTCCAATTTCCTTTTTTTCCATGGAATTTATTGTTTCTCACTGTAACTCTCAACCATATTTCTTTTCCTTTTGTTTGATAGCACTATGCATGAAGACGCTGCTATTGGCTGGTCTAATTCCAATTTCCTTTTTTCCATGGAATTTATTTTTTCTCACTGTAACTCTCAACCATCTTTCTTTTCCTTTTGTTTGATGGCGCTATGCATGAAGACGCTGCTATTGGCTGGTCTAATTCCAATTTCCTTTTTTTCCAGGGAATTAATTGTTTCTCACTGTCACTCTCAACCATATTTCTTTTCCTTTTGTTTGATAGCACTATGCATGAAGACGCTGCTATTGGCTGGTCTAATTCCAATTTCCTTTTTTTCCATGGAGTTAATTGTTTCTCATGGTCATTCTCAACTATCTTTCTTTTCCTTTTGTTTGATGGCGCTATGCATGAAGACGCTGCTATTGGCTGGTCTAATTCCAATTTCCTTTTTTCCAGGGAATTAATTGTTTCTCACTGTCACTCTCAACCATATTTATTTTCCTTTTGTTTGATGGCGCTATGCATGTAGATGCTGCTATTGGCTGGTCTAATTCCAATTTCCTTTTTTTCCATGGAGTTAATTGTTTCTCATGGTCATTCTCAACTATCTTTCTTTTCCTTTTGTTTGATGGCGCTATGCATGAAGACGCTGCTGTTGGCTGGTCTAATTCCAATTTTCTTTTTTTCCATGGAGTTAATTGTTTCTCACTGTCACTCTCAACCATCTTTCTTTTACTTTTGGTTGATGGTGCTATGCATGAAGACGCTGATGTTGGCTGGGCTGAGATGTTCCATTCGGGGTTGATGTATGTGAACCCTTTGAACAGCTTTTGATTTTCATCATCAATTGGTTCTTCCCCAGCCTCTGATGACAAGACATCGCCAGTGTCTAAAGTGTTTGTGATGACTTGGACATATTTCTACGGAGAAAAGATGTGAGCAAAGCATAAGCTTAGTAAATGTTAGACAAAGCTGCTTTAAGGTCTTTTTTGCATTGGTTTTTCATCTCTAAGCATTTGTTTCCAAGTTTAAATGACAGTCTTGGCCCATTTCAAGGCCCTTGTGTACTACCCTGAGATGCTCAATTTGGGAAAAGTAATTGCAAACCTGAAGCTGTTGAGCTTTCCCCCAAGCTAAACCACTGTGTCATGTACTCACTGAAGTCATCTGGAGTTTCACTGAAATTTCTTTGTAATTAAAATATCTACACATGACAAAAGAAAGACTAACAGGGTTATTTACTAAAGTGAGAAATCAAAATAAATGTCAAATTTAACGCCAAAGTAGCCAACCTAGTAGTGTAGCTGACATAGAGCATTATCACATTTTAACTATTTTGACCTTAAATTTAAATTTCACTTCAAATTCAGATAGAACTCTTACTTTAGTGAAAAACACTGAAATTGTTTTATGTGTGCTTTGAATTATGGCAAAATGTGGCAAAAGACTGATCTTTGATGAGCTTCTGAACACCACTAATTTCCATTCTCTCTGATGGTGGATGAAAAATGGGCAACTTCTTGCTCAATGCTTAATACTTTCCTGTAGTTTCTTACTACTTGTGTGTTAAATGATCTGTGTAGTGTACCATTGTCTTATATTAACATCCATAGCTCAGTAAACCTCCAAATGTTGAATACATGAGACCTGGTAACATCATCAATCAGGAGCTGGAGAGAGGAAGGTGGAACTGATGACACAGATTTTAAGATAAGTAACTCCATTCCCCTTTTCCACCGAATGACACAAACTTGCATGTGGACTTGTCACCTGAGGTTGACTTTGAAATGTGCAGCTTTAAAGGCAAAAACTTTCTTTTCTTATACTTACTGTGTATATTGAGAAAGGGGGGACTACTCTTCCAGCCTCCAGCTCTTTCCAGTCAATTGATGTAAAGAAGGGATGTCTGCGAATATCTCCCTCTTTTCCCAAATGTTGGGATGGTGTTTTACAGAGAAGCTGCAAAGAGAAAAAAAGTACATAATAAAACTACCTCTGCCTTCAAACATACAATACAAAATCAATAAAATTTGTAATTTATATGAAGTAATATATAGAATAATACCAAACTATGTTAATTCAATTATAACTTACTACGTTAATGTGTTACTTCAAGCATCGTGACCACTTCAGTTCTTTGGAGTGGTCATGAGGCCTGTAGTCTTGATGTGTAATGTTTTATTATGAAATGCTGCACATATTGAGCTTTACCCTCTTTGCTGCTGGTGGTGTAGCTCTACTGCTGGCAGAATCATTGGGGCATCATTAGCCAGCCTGGAACAAGCTGCTTAGCCAGCTAATCTCAATTCTGTGCATATTTTTTTGCACAGTGTTGCATTTATTAGTTAAGAGTGATCTGCTGACGCTCTCAGCCGATGAATGGCAATGGCATTTACTTCTGCACCTCCTCAGAAGATGGTTGCACATCACCAGGCCTGCAAGCACCCATGGCACCCAATGGGAACCAGGTAAAAAGGTTTACTATTGCAAAGTGGCCTGTGCCATTAGCAGAGAACGGGGCTAGGGTACTTCTCACATAATAACCACTAGAGTGGGCTATAATGGTTATGATGCTTGGAGTCATCCTTAAACTTAATAAAATGTCAAATTGTAGCAACATGTATTATCATTATTGCATTTCTTAGCATGAACTCTTTGTTACAGAGGTCCTGTTTTACATCCAGAAAGGTCCGCTTCTGAATACTTCTTTAACGTAACTCAACCCGCTGTTTCATCCAACTGTTCAATATAACATGTCTTCCTACTTCATGACTTTATTCTGCAGATATGATACAGCCACACTCACCTTTTGTATGAAATCTTGTGTGTCATTGCTTAGGTATGATGGATAGTATGGCGTGGCAAAAAGGGTTGAATCAACCGCTCTGTAGGTTGATTTGCCACAATAAAAAGGACAATGTCCTGTAGCCATCAAATAAACAATGATTCCCAATGCCCACCAGTCCACTGCAGCATTATAGTTTTCCTCCAAAATCATCTGCCACAGAAAATATTTAAGAATAATTGAATACATATGAAAAAACTGTTTAGTATATTATAGGGCAGAGGTAAAGATCTAGGGTAGAGGAGAAGACAATAAGACATGGTATTTTCAAAAGGATTATAAGTGTTATGAAGAACACAATGATGACTGTTTTATTTTGGATCTCTACCCTTATATCCATGATGTGTAAGACTCTAAATATAATGAATCTTTTACTTTCAACATATACATTATAGACCATTCTTTATAAATACAACACCCACCTCAATCTTTGTAATGAAAATTCCAGATTCAATAATAGTCAATATTTGTGATTAGAGTTGAGCGAACCCAGACTGTAAAGTTCGGGTTCGTACTGAAGATTACGGTTTTTGGACCCCGGACCCGAACACGGACATGTCACTGTATGTTCGGGTTGGAGTTCGGTGTTCAGCGATTTAATGGCTTGTTTTTAAAGGCTGCAGGGCAGCCAATCAACAAGCGTTTGACTCGTGTGCCCTTAGAAGCCATCACAGCCATGCTACTGATGGCATGGCTGTGATTGGCCAGTGCAGCATGTGACCCAGCCTCTATATATAAGCTGGAGTTGCGTAGCGCCGCATGCACATGAGCTCCTATTAGTGTAGGGAGAGGATGCTGCAGCTGTTAGGGATAGATTAGGAAAGAATTCTGCAAACTAGTACATTAGTGGGGTGCACTTCATATCTGAGAGTCAAATAGAAGTTTCAAATACCGCAGTTACATCGGAGTTTTAAAAAGTCAATTTTTTTTGGTGCTAAATAGTACATTAGTGGGATAGTACATTAGTGGGGTGCACTTCAAATCTGAGAGTCAAATAAAATCTTGAAATACTGCTGTCACATTGCATTTTTAAAACTTAACATTTTTGGGACCCCTCCTGCACCTTATAAGACAGAATGACACAATTCAGGGAATACACCTGGGGGACAAGCACATCAATATCAGTGCGTTCGCGGACGACGTATTACTGTATATAGAGAATCCCCTAGACTCCCTACCCACACTATTACAATTGCTTAAAGACTATGGACGGGTATCATACTACTCAGTCAACGCGGCTAAGACGCAGGCTCTACCTGTCGGTATTCCGGCCCAGGTGCTCCGCACCCTTACTCACACCTACGACTTTGATTGGAGGGTGGAATCCATAAAATATCTGGGGTTGACAGTTACCAAAAACCCTGCGAACCTTATGGCGGAAAATTATATCACAGTGCGGAATAAGTGTAATCAGTTGATGAAACAATGGTCGCCACTGTACTTGTCCTGGACAGACCGCATAGCGACACTGAAAATGTCCATACTACCAAGACTGTTGTACCTGTTCCTTACGCTCCCCCTCCACCTCCCTCCCTTATATTGTAAGACAATACAAATCGACATGGGAAGATTCGTGTGGGCGTGTGGCAGGGCCAGGGTTTCGGCAGCTACTATACAAACCCCCAAGAAAATGGGAGTCTAGCAATGCCAAATAACCAAACCTATTACCATGCAGCAATATTGGCAACAGCTATCCCACATTGTCTCCGAGCCCAGTCCACAATGGGTTTCACTGGAACGAGAACTATTGGGCACCCACGGCATCCTACACCTACTTTGGACACCCCTACACTTCAGGCCTGCTCATCCCCTATTCCCTACACAAATGCTACTGTTGTTTCAGATATGGGATAAATACAGACCCAGATTGATACGTGGTATCAAAGAGGGGCGACACACCTATACCATCTCTTTTCTGCTGACAAACTCCTGGACTACCCCAGCCTAGTGGATAAATTTGCACTCCCACACTCCTCACTTTACTCATATCTACAATTAAAATCCTACCTGTCCAGGGAAGAAACACGCTGCCCAGGCACCCCCAGAGACACCAATAGAATTACTGTATGGGAACAAATGTGTTTATCCGCAAAATTACTACCACATTGTAAACCGATCTCCATGTGCCTCGGCTCCATAGCTAACTACAATCACTTCTCCACCACCAAATATGCCCAACAATGGGAGAGTGACCTAAACTGTCCAGGGCCACTTAAATCTTGGCATACAATCCTCACCGACCCACTCAAATTACTAAACTCGTCAGCCCACATAGAACAACACCACAAAATATTATACCAATGGTACTTAGTGACAACTAGGCTACAAAAAATCTTCCCCTCCACTTCCTCACAATGTTGGAGATGCCATACACAGGAGGGCTCGATGTACCATATCTGGTGGAGCTGTCCGCAGCTACTTAGCTACTGGACCGAGGTCCACGCATTAATCCAAGACGTTACCCAACACCCCCTCCCATTTACCCCGCTAACATGCTTAGTGCTTGATCTCCCCAGAGGGATGCCCCAACACGCCAAGAAAATGATGTTACACATTGCCTTAACGGCGCAACAATTGATAGCAAGGAGGTGGAAATCCACGACCCTTCCCAAAAAGGAGACCCTGATAGAGGAATTACACAAGCAGTGGATCTATGAGACATCCTACAAGTCCTTGTTCCCCCCTTCCGCACTCTACCAAAAGACCTGGGAGGTCTGGCAAGCATGGAGATCTGGTAATGTACCAGGCACTGTACCTAACTAACTGACCCGAAAGGTCCCCCCTTACATGGCGGCTACCAATACGTGCTGCATACCAAGGTAGGACCGACAGGGAAACTGACCCTGCCTGACCTCACTTGGCTTAGCACAGGTTTAATCCTACCACAATTAACAACACCGCAATCTCAAACACAGCCTATGGGGTAGCCTACCGGAAAGTGTGTTGATATGTTGATATGATGATGTGTTGATCTGTAGACACAGCTATATGTGATTCGTGATTATAGCTACTATGTTGCTAGAATGTCGATACGATGCTTGACTGTTTCTTATAGTGATGCCCCCCCCTCCCCGATTTCTGCTTTCTGAAATGTCACAGTTATGTATAACATGCTATTGAACGAGATTCCCTTTTCTCTTCTGTACCTTGTTTGAGATGGTTAATGACAAAATAAAAATTGTCAAATTGAAAAAAAATATTTTTTTTGGGTGCTAAAAAGTACATTAGTGGGGTGCACTTCATATCTGAGAGTCAAATAGAAGCGTCAAATACTGCTTTCACATTGCAGTTTTAAAACTTAAATTTTTTTGGGTGCTAAACTGCTAAATAGTATTTTAGTGGGGTGCACTTCATATCTAAGAGTCAAATAGAAGCGTCAAATAGTGCGCTTACAGCGCAGTTGTAAACATTCTAATTGTTTTGCTGCTAATCTGCTAAATAGTACATATTGGGGCCTGCTCTTCATATCTGAGAGTCAAATAGAAGCGTCTAATAGTGTGTTTACAGCGCAGTGGTAAACATTCTAATTGTTTTGCTGCTAATCTACTAAATAGTCAATTTTGCGGCCTGCTCTTCATATCTAAAAGTCAAAAAGAAGCGTCTAATAGTGTGCTTACAGCGCAGTGGTAAAAATTCTAATTTTCTGGGTGCTAATCTGCTAAATAGTACATTTTGGGGCCTGCTCTTCATATCTGAGTGTCAAATAGAAGTGTCTAATAGTGTGCATACAGCGCAGTTGTAAACATTCTAATTGTTTTGCTGCTAATCTGCTAAATAGTACATTTTGGGTCCTGCTCTTCATATCTGAGAGTCAAATAGAAGCGTCTAATATTGTGCTTACAGCGCAGTGGTAAACATTCTAATTGTTTTGATGCTAATCTGCTAAATAGTTCATTTTAGGGCCTGCTCTTCATATCTGAGAGTCAAATAGAAGCGTCTAATAGTGTGCTTACAGCGCAGTGGTAAAAAATCAAATTTTCTGGGTGCTAATCTGCTAAATAGTACATTTTGGGGCGTGCACTTCATATCTGAGAGTCAAATAGAAGCATCTAATAGTGCGCTTACAATGCAGTAGTAAACATTCTAATTGTTTTACTGCTAATCTGCTAAATAGTACATTTTCCTTATATGCGAGTACGCGACAGAACCTTCAGCGTTATTTAGTAGGCCTGAATACCGCTGTACGAATGGTGAGGCCAGAACAAGTACAGGCGATAGTAGATTGGATGGCTGACAGTGCCTCCAGTTCCTGCACATTGTCTCCCACCCGGTGCCCTGCTGAAAGGTCAGAGTTGGCACCTGCAGCCCATGGTCATCTGTCTATCACCTCACCCCCTTGCAAATCACCCAAGCAGTATCAGCCACAAGTCATGCAGCAGTCTCTTATGCTTTTTGATGACTGGCGGGGTTTCCATAGGCCATCCACCTAGTCCTGCCCCAGAAGTGGAAGGGATTGAGTGCACTGATGCACAACCACTTATGTGTGAGGATGTGGACATGCAAGGACCACCGCTGCACGTCTCTAATGATGACGAAACACAGGTGCCAACTGCTGTGGCTTTCGGCAGTGTGCAGAGAGGCAAGGAGGGCAGGGTTGAGGTGGAAGATGATGTGGAGGATGATGAGGTCCTAGACCCCACATGGAATGAAGGTCAAGAGATTGACGTGTCCAGTTTGGAAGAAGAGGCAGTGGTCGCACAGAGGCACCAGCACAGCATAAGAGGGAGCAGGGTGCAAAAGTGGAGCGGCCATCCCCTAGACAGTACGCCTGCTACTGCCCACCGCACCCAGGGACCGAGCACACCAAAGCCAGCTCCAAGGAGCTCCCTGGCGTGGCAGTTCTTCGGACAATGTGCTGACGACAAGACACAAGTGGTTTGCACGCTGCGCAATCAGAGCCTGAAGCGAGGCATAAACGTGCTGAATGTTCAACTTAGATAGGTAGTTTTACATTCATGATAAAAAAAGTATTTAGTTGGTAATTTTTAGAGGATATATAATAATTATTATTATGGCTTTTGAATATAAATTCTAATAGTCCTTTTGTTTTGAGTTCCTTGTGCATAATTACTAGGTGTAAGAGAAGTGATTTTTAAGCTTTTAAGCTATTATGACGGTGTGGAACGCACGGCCATGTTTATCTCTTGAACGTG